TGATTTCACATTTGGATAGATTCAGGATGAGACCCATTTCCTGTCCCCATGTCATCACCTGTGTAAGATCATCTAGAAGCATCTCCTTTGTACCTGCTAGTGTGCCATCATCCAGGAACCAGATGTTTAGCTCACTGGTCAGTCTGACTGTGATTTCCCTAACAGATACAGAAGAGAAATGGTGCTAGAGGATCCCTTTGCTGAACACCCTCTAATGATGTGATTTCTTGCTCTATAAACAGAAGCACTGACTCCTTTCTGTATGCAGCTGAAACAAAAGGGAAGAAACTAGGGAAATGTTCTTCTACAGCTGCTAATACCACATCTCTTTTCAGGAGATTAAATGCATTCTTGAAATCTAATTTTACCACTGCATTGTCCTCGGGCACTTTGTCGATATACGCCCTTGTTGCATGACCCGCTACTTCACTTCCGTGAGAGACCCCAAAGCCAAGTTGGTTTGGTTGAAGCATGATGGCCACCTCTGCGCAAATATTCGGATAGCAGCTTTGGAAGCGAGGTGGCGAAAAGTGTTGCCCACTGCAATTGGCCTAATTCCTCCATCCTTCTTTTTAAGTGCACAAAGTGATGCACCAAAAAAGGAAGACTTAATTTCATCAGGAATGAGACCAGCCAAGGAATTGTTGACGAGCCTTGTGATCTCTGAAAGCAGTGTCTCTACAATCTCCCTGATAACTGGATTAACCATTTCCTTTAAATGTTGTGGCCTTATTCCAGTGTAGCCCCAGCAGAGCCGGACGGGAGTGACATTATTGCTTTGTAAATGTCTGAGTCTTGCACACTCAGTGGTTCCACAGTGGGGACAAAGGTGTTGGAACTGTTGGTGCCCCTGGTTTCCCTGGCAGGGTGCTGTCCTCTAAGTGTTTCAGTAGTGCCAGAATCTCTAGGGGCAACTGTATCTTCACTGGTGATAATTCTGATTGCGCCCACTGTGTTGCCTCTTCAATTTTCTTGCGCACATGGACTCAGATTTTTTTTGTATTGATGGGGAAGGCGAATGAGGTTATCAGCTCTAGGAAAGTCTCTTAAGGATTTAATGATCATTGAGGCTAGCCTCTTTCCCCTTCTTTCCGGCACAGCTAAGGAGACATTGCCAACAGTAGCAAGTTGTGCCATGGCTTGATGATTTGTGGAGCATTTAGGATATTGGAACCATCGTTTACATTTTCTAAGAGGTCTGTAAGTTTCCCAGCTGCATGTGGATGGGCTGCTTTGGGAATATGTGTGTCCTGGTGCTTGTTGCTTTAATTGATTCCAAAATATTATCAGATGAGATGAGATCTGTTGGAGTGGGTTCAGGTGCCTGAAGTGGTTCTGGGTTATTACTTTTAACAGGAGGACATCCTGAGCCAGGGCAGCTACAATGTTTGCTGAGGAAACCTTTAGAGTTGAGACAACGAAGGTGTAAACACGACCGACACTTAGCTCTCCTAGTATTGCCAGCCGTGCCATTTCTTTGGCTGCTCGCTTCCTCCTGGCTGGCATCCATCTGGCTAGGTAGACTGTAGGAATGGAGTGCTACATGCTGGGTGGGTATGGTGCGTGGGAGGTAGTGTACTTGACCGTGGTGGCTTGGTAGGGCTCAAGGGGTGTCACTGGGATTTGGGTGGAGGAGGCGCAGGTTGTTGGGTGTGAGTAGCCAGGGGAGAGGAGTGAGGAGAGTACACCACACATGGACTTGCACACTATATATTGTTCACGCTATCTTACAATACACACAACATTAATCGTTTCCCATGTACATCATGAAGGATGTGGGTATTTGCACTGCTGAACCCCAGTGAGTTCCCTCACCACCTACACACGGCGCCTCTTCCCCCTCCCCCGTGGCGTGGGGAAGGCGACACTGGCTGGTCACTCAGATAAGATAAGATAAGATAAGATTTCGTTCGGATTTTTAACCCCGGAGGGTTAGCCACCCAGGATAACCCAAGAAAGTCAGTGCGTCATCGAGGACTGTCTAACTTATTTCCATTGGGGTCCTTAATCTTGTCCCCCAGGATGCGACCCACACCAGTCGACTAACACCCAGGTACCTATTTGCTGCTAGGTGAACAGGACAACAGGTGTAAGGAAACGTGTCGAATGTTTCCACCCGCCGGGAATCGAACCCGGGCCCTCCGTGTGTGAAGCGGGAGCTTTAGCCACCAGGCCACCGGGCCACTCCCTTGTTAACATTAACCCCACATTGTTTTACCATAACATATGCCTCTAATTATTTCATGCATCGACACGTAATCATTTCTAGGTTAACTGGAAGCATGGCACATGGTGTTGGAGGTAGATGTTTTCATGAGAGCTTTTCGAGGTTTGTATATACGATAAACTTTGCCGGTACCCACACACAATGTAGGCCCTATTCTCCCCCACTCCCACTGACCATCTTCCACACTACCACCACTCCACAACCTTCACAAACGGCACAACACTTCCACTATTTACGTTGAAACGATGCACAAGAATCTTCCCAAAGTATTCACACTGAGTCCTGTTCAGTCTTAGATCTGGTCAGCCTCTTTGATCAGTACTTATTCTTAAAAATCCCGCAGATAGCCTGCCACACGGCTCTAGGTTCTTCCAGTCTCTCTCCTTCTGGTTAAAGTTTTCCCTGATAAGCGGCTGTGCACTGCTCACATGTTCGCTGCAGGTCAGATCAGCTCGTGTATCCACCATTGCTCGGTTGTTATAATCACTTTCTTGTCTGGGTCTTTTGCTATTTACTGGATGGTTGTACATCATTGCTTGATATCACAACCTTGGGACACCCTGACATGAGTGTTCCTACCATGTAGTCATCTGTTTTTCCTCTCATCTCCTCAAATCTCAGTTGGTTTCTGATTAGCAGTGCTACTCTTCCACTTCCTCTGTTCCCTCGGTCTTTCCTCATGATGTAATATCCAACTGGAAAGACTGCATCTGTTATCTCTGTGAGCTTCATTTCGTATAAGACAAATTATTTATGTCCATTTGTCTAAAATGAATGGCGGTGTATTGATACCTTTCATCTTTCTTATGAATAAAGGAGCACTGCAGTAGTCTACAGTGTGAAAGTTCTATTCATGCCTAACAAATCTCATTAAATTTTTTCTCATAACAAGACTTAAAATCTTTGTTTATGGTATTTTTCTATTCAATACTTTCATGTTGGTGTGCTCTCAGTGGTGCTCTATGGATTTACCGCTTCACCATTAACATAATCATATATAAATAACTTGCACTTGTCCTCTGTGAATCATTGGTGAAACCGGCGGCTCTGTTTCTGATTAAAGAACACTAAAGAAGTTTTTACTCTACCCGAACAACGCTCTTTACTGCCATACTATAAACTGGTCTTTTTCTAAAACTATCTACCCTTCCTCTAGTTTTCACAGACGCTGTTTTCTTAAATTCAACCTTATATACACTTCCTAACACGAATCTTAGTCCAGGTTTGTTTATGTAGAAGCTTGTCTTTCTCGGTACATTGTCATAAAAATGCTTTAATTTTCAGAACATTCATGGTTTAACTTTACCTATGTCTCTCCTCATCTTTTCTTTTAATCTGATTTCAGCATTTCCACAGCCATTCCCGTCTTCAGGCTCTCTAGGTAAGACACGTATGCAACAGTTAGGTATCTTTATTTCGAAACGTTTCGCCTACACAGTAGGCTTCTTCAGTCGAATACAGCAAAGTTGATAGAAGCAGAAGAGACTTGAAGACGATGTAATCAGTCCATCACCCTTGACGTTTTGAGGTGGTCAGTCCCTCAGTCTGGAGAAGAGTATTGTTCCATAGTCTGGAACGATATGGAGTTGAAGTGATAGAATGGAGCCTTATATAGCGCCAGGAGGTGAGACGTAGGTCACTAGTAGAGGTAACTATGTAGACGTTGAGAGGTCAGGTCCCTCTCAAATCCAGCCATTCTCACTAGTAGAGGTTGTTGGAGTTGATTCCAAGTCTGTACCTGACCTCTCAACGTCTACATTGTTACCTCTACTAGTGACCTACGTCTCACCTCCTGGCGCTATATAAGGCTCCATTCTATCACTTCAACTCCATATCGTTCCAGACTATGGAACAATACTCTTCTCCAGACTGAGGGACTGACCACCTCAAAACTTCAAGGGTGATGGACTGATTACATCGTCTTCAAGTCTCTTCTGCTTCTATCAACTTTGCTGTACTCGACTGAAGAAGCCTACTGTGTAGGCGAAACGTTTCGAAATAAAGATACCTAACTGTTGCATACGTGTCTTACCTAGCAACCTGTCGGTATTTTATACCATTTTATTGTTCATTCAGACTCTCTACTTAACTTATTTTTTCTTACATAATATGGGCCAGCATTCATATTACAGAGCTTCTATTTTCTTTGCTACTACTACTATTACTGCTGTTGTTATTACCACATACTTCTTAGCCCTCCCATTCCTCAAACTGTCTTCTAACTTTCTCTTTTTATTTTTCGCTCGATCGTGACTTGATAATTTATAATTTATCTTTATATCTACAAGAACATGTACAAGGTATACAGTCCTGGCTGACATCACTGACATACTACTACAGAGTGTCCCTTGTTATATAGAGCATTTCCGGCAAGTTAGGTCAGTTTTGTCCCAGGATGCGACCCACACGAGTCGACTAACACCCAGGTACCCATTTTATTGATGGGGAACATAAACAACCGTTATAAGGAAACACGCCCAATGTTTCTACCCTCGCCGGGAATCAAACCCAGACCCTCGCCGTGTGAAGCAAGAGCTTTAGCCACCAAGCCACGGATCCAAGACAGACTATAACTCCATGTAAAGTTTACTCTCTTAGTATAGTGTATTTCTTAATCTTTCCAGCCACGGTATTATGACTTTTCTCTTCAATATATTTATAATTTTCACATTATTGTGAAAGCATCAAGATCTACCAGTATCTTAAAATTTTTACAGGGTGCACTCTAGACCTTACAAGTTATATATTTATATATTTTTTTCTTGGCAGGCCTGTGAGCGTGATCATAGTGTTCTACACACTGGGTATCGTGATGCTGCTACCATGGAACTTCTTCATCAACGCAGAAACAGCAAGTGTCTTACCTCTCCTGTCTCACTTTGATTGTACCAACAAGATATAGTCCCCTCAAGGAGGCGACGTTTCAGTTTTATTCCATCCGTGCATCCCTGGAGGGAGGGGGGAAGATCCTTGCCATTAGGACGTTAATTAAAGAGCTCTTGATCAAGGAATTAAAAATATACGTCCCTTCCGTGGTTCAAACCTGATTAACTTCCATTACCGAAGCGCTGTATGATTATTTTGTGTTTAGGGCTTCCTAAATTAATGATTTAATAATTATATGTATTTCCGTGGCTCCCCGATCCGGGAAACACATCTCCGAATTCCGTTATTATCGTCACCTGTACCTTAGTGCATGTGACTGAAATAATGTAGAGTGCAGCATACAGTAGTGTGCATATTAATTGGGACAGTGATGAAATAAGACATTTATTTGAAAAATATATGGCACTGATATGACAGATAATTGATTTAATAAGAGGTATGATTACCCTTTGCTTTTATAAGCATTGCTACATGCTTTAGCATAGAATCGACCAATGGTGAACATATTTGGCAAGTTCTTTGTCGTGGTACTAGGTCCTAGTAACAGCAGCAATTAGCTTCTGCACAGTTGAACAGTCCTCTTGAGCAATCCTGCGTTTGGTTATTGCCCATAGATTCTCACTTTGGTTGACGTCGGGAGAGTTTCCAGGCCTATTTAAAATGGTTCGAAGATTGTCAGCATTTTGCTGAAATTATAACATGGAGCAAGATCCTGCTGGAATATACCTTCTCCAAAGTCCCCATCCATAATGGGAAGCAAATGAGTTGCCAGGATTGCTTTGTATGTGTCACTGTTCATCGTTCCCTCAACAATAATAAGTCGTCCAGGGCCTGTAGCAGTAAAACTACCCCAAAACATCTTTTTAGTTGGGTGGCTTGGCTCTTATTGAATGTGTCCATTCCGAAGAGGTTCGTCTTTGCTCCGTCTCACTGCCACTGATCTGTACCCATGTATTTCCAAATGTACCTCATCTGAAATTATAACTTTTCTACATTCATCTGTCTTTCGTCCTTTATGGTGGAGTGCCCATGGCAGCCATTTTTTCTTCATGGCAGCGGTCAATAATTGTTTCTTTACCAGTCTTCTGGCAATTCTGCCAACTTCAAGGAGCCTTCATCATACAGTTGAAGAATCAACATTTATGCCAGCTAAAGCCAAATCTCTCTGTAGATCTTTGCTGGTTTTCTTGGGATCCTCTCCTAGTGAGCCAAGTACCGACATCATTCAAACCTCTCCATCTACGCCTCCAACACTTCGGTACCACATGTCCCAAAGTGGTTGGGCCACTTGCCTTGATTCCTCCTCTTCCCCTCCTTCCCATCCTTTTCCAGTATTTCCATCCTTCCTTATCCTTCTTCCTTCCCATCTCACGACAGCTCTCGTCGTCTTCTTCGATATCATCGTGAGGTGTTGTCTTGCGTTTTCTTACACATCTTTCTCGACGCAGCACTCCACACTCACCAGTGTCGTCATCTCTCTTCAGAATCCCACCAACAGTTGACTTTGCTAGGCTCAAATTTTCAGCGAGCTGTTTGATACCCAAATCAGCATGTTTTCTATGAGCTACAATACTTGCACACTTCCTAGGTGTAACATCCGTCATGAATTTCAGCAGTAATTATGAACTGAAGGGGATAATTTGGCGAAACTACATTCACTCACGGACCATGTTTGCAGGAATAGCAATACAGAACAGCTGTTGTAGCACTGATGAGAGTCACAGGGCAACTCCACAGCTGGATGGTTGCCAGAAGTCGGTAGCAAACTCTTCTGAAAAGAAAAGAATCTAAACTACACTAATTAAGCCGGAGACTAAGACATATTATGATATAATCACAAACTTTATTCCAGTCCCAATTAATTTGCAAACTTCTATAAGTTAAATTTCATTAAGGATTTGAAGTGAATCAGACGAGAGACCAATATTCTAAGAGTTGGAAAGTCTATCCTTATTAAATTTAAAAACGCCATAAAAATATTTTTTTTTTATTTTTTTTACTCATTCATATTCAGTTTCAAATCCTCTATAACCCCTTAAGAAAATAAATTTTATTTTTATTGTCTAAGAAACCCAATTTGTCAAAATTATTTTAGAGGCTGCCCAATTGATATATATAGAGCTCAAAATCAATACAAGCATACTTGTAACTATAATACACCAACGTTTATGATTTGAAACCGATCAGAAGAGGCATTCTCAAATTACACGCGAAACAATTTAATAAAATTGGCAAATTTAAGTTTATACAGCTCAAATTTAGTAACAAGCTGTGTCTTAATTAATCCCTTTAATAATAAAAATTTGAAGCCGATAAGAAAAAACATTTCTCAGTAGTTGATCTGAGTCCAGCGATTCTGGTTCTTTATTTCTCAGTGAGTGGACACTGAAACTGGGTGATACGGCATTCTTATGACATTCACTGTTATTATTTATTTCTCAATATTATTTCTAATACTAGACACA